AATCAAAGTCTTCGCTTGGACATTAACGATCTCTCAGTCGCCTATGCAGATGTGGAACTCATTGCTGATTAAAAGGGGTTCATGAAAATGATCCTGTTGTATGCGTTAACAGCCACTACACGATCGGCATTCCCAAGTATGAAAAGAATTTGACAGTGGAAGATCTAATGTCATTAAGATACGTGAACTGACATCAGTCAGTTTCTACATGGTCATAAAATGGTGTAGATTATCAAACTGCTCATTCTTCCCTTGTCAGAAAACTTATGGCTGCTGAGATTGTTTAANACTGATGTCAGTTCACGTGTCTTAATGACATTAGATCTTCCACTGTCAAATTGTTTTCATACTTAGGAATGCCGATCGTGTAGTGGCTGTTAATGCATACAACAGGATCATTTTCATGAACCCCTTTCAATCAGCAATGAGTTCCATTCCTACATGGTCTTAAAATGGTATAGATTATCAAACTGCTCATTCTTCGCTAAACCCGTAGAGCCGAACCGCACAGGACGGATTTCATTCGTTCGAAAAAAGGAGATATTTTCAAAGTGAAAAGCGGATACTCATTGTCAGAAAACTTATTGCTCCTGAGATTGTTTAATGCAAAGTCTACGACGTTATCATCTCTTATATGCCAAATGAAATCATCATGCAGTCCTTCTTCCTGTACGATTTTTACCGTTCAAACTTCGAGTAAATCGATCGTCACTTCAAATACTCCCAACCGAATGCATTCTATGGAGAAGGGAATAAGTCAAAACAACAATGATGAAATCAATCTTTGGTTGCTCTGAAAATGGCAGTTTCTACGTTCTCTGCTGAAACCAATCTCAGTGGTCTCCCATGTCCTCACCATCAAGAGCAGGCATGTAAAATGTCTGCGAATGTCGCACGAACCCAGCGCAATGAGAATCGGGGATCGACGATATCGCTCTCGCTCTAAGAACTGCATTCGCCATTCCGCTTGATTGATTGTACCTCCAGGATCCCCTTGAAGGAAGCTCGGAAAATTATCGCTCAAATCGCGCTTGACTTTGCTCTTAATCAAGCTCTACTTACGCTCAATTGGACTGAGCATTGGCGAGTATGGTGGCATCCTCAGCAGCTTTGCCTCACGATATTCACTCTCAGTGAATATCTCCTCCAGTCTATTGTGGCAAGGAGCATTGTCGCAAATGACAGTGATCTGCTTCATGGGTACCTTTTGCTGGAGTTGATCCAGCACTGATCGCATCCACCGCTTGCAGTCTTCCCATCGATATGCTCCACGTTTGGTCTTGCACGACACCATTCCCATCACAGTCATGGCACCTATTAGATGCAAGTTTCTCCCGCGACTGTTGCATACCGGCAAGCATGAACGTGTGCCTTTTGTAGACCAACCCATTGTCCTCGTGCAAAAGAGGTTAAAGTTTGTTTCATCAATCCAACAAATACAACCTCCTTCTTGGTCTACTTCAAACATCTGGAGAGCATACCGTTGGCGAATCACCTTCGTATCAACATTATTCATTCCATATGGAATGAGATGAAGCTTCTTGATTGTAATCAGTCGGCAATCCAAATAATTTCCAACTGTTGTGCGTGAAACCTCCTTCTCAAACTCCGCTTTAATTCGGATTCTTAACAACTCCAATGTGATTGTGGGATCTTCTTCCAGCCAGGTGATTATTTCGTCGATCTCCGTGTCATTTAAAGTCTTTCTCCTTCCTCCGCTTTTCGGTTGACGTTCGTAATGCAGTTCCTTGGCATTAATCCAGTTGTAAGCGGTCTTATACTTCACTCCATTGTGTTTCGCAACAACACGCCAATCCTCTCCCTCTTCAAAAGCCTGAACAATTCGCTTGCGCACAGCGCTGTCAGCACAGTTGTACCGACCTCGAAGCATGATGAAAAAGTGAATGGAAGTGGATGAAAAAATATCTTATACCACATCTGCATGGGCCACTGAGAGATCGTTAATGTCCAAGCGAAGACTTTGATTACGCATGCCCCATGTAACGAAATGTGCATCGGATCGACTGCGTTCTGTTTCGTTCAGTTTTGTGGGCTGGGCCAGAAATGGGTGAGCTACACTTAAGGTGTAACTGGTTTTGGTTGCTAGGCCATTAGGGACAGCCAGTTCATTCACCCATGTTCACCTCAAGAACTCCAACCTCTGTCACTGAACCAATATTGTTATTCCAATAGACCCCTGATTCTCGTACATAGCTCGGATTGCACCGTAAGCCCAAAACTCTACCCTGGTCGTAGTTACTGTGACCAGCTTTGATTATTGAGTCAATGGCAGAGCTGTAGTGGGCACGACACAGTGCGCCATCCTTCGTGCATATCGAGTAGTGTCCCACTTGGTTGTCACAAGCATGGCTTCACCGACCCACCGACTCGACGTCCGTCACAGAGCTCGACAAGATGCACGACTGAGGTCTGCCTCATTTCAGCACAGAAAGAGCGTGGGAAGACAGGTGGTCGATCCGGGGGTAGAAAAAATGTATGACCAAATGACCAATGAGGTGCGCTGAACTGAAGCGGATCCAACCACAGCATTTTTTTCTCAAATCTAAGTGATGGTTTCTCAATTCCAAATGACGGTTTCGCAAATGAAAATTATAGTTTCTCAAAGCTATCTTAAAATGGTATAGTAGTTCACCTAGGGACGTTGGTCAAAAACCCTGATTGCAAACCAAGCAAGAAGTTGCCTTCAAGCCACACATCCTACTGGTGGTGGTTGTGGCCATCGGCTCGATTGAGCATCGAGGCTTATTGGGCGCTCTAGACATTTGACCCCATCTAAAGAGCTTATACCCGATAAACTGGACACCGACCTCTAATGGACTGCGGAATGTAAGCTCCGTCTTGCAGATCTGGCTTTCTAGCCAAAGGCTTCGGATGGGGACCCCCAGATTCGTCCCCGTTCCTAGGTCAGGGAAACTGGAAAGTAACATGCCCACACAATCTATGAGCACATTCTACTTGTTTTTTTTTTCATTTGTGGTACGTTTGCCAGTTCTTTTTAATTGAATACGTGTTGAAATGAACCCCAGTCTACATGAATTCTTTTTTTGACTCCGCTCTCAACATTCCAATCTTTATTCTGTTCTTTTATCCAAATGGGCAGTCAAAAGACAGCAACCAAAACCGACGCACGAAAGTGCATGATTGCACGAACTGAAACGGAAATTCTGCCCTTCAATAGTCGCTAAAAACGGTTCTACTTTCAATAGAAAGACTAGTACAGACAGAACATGTGGACCATAAATGGGCATTTTACCGTACAAACTATTTTAACTGATAAGACCATAAGTGTTACTTTATTCAAAATTTTCCGGTTTGACCTCTTCTCACTCTGATTTTCACAACTCTTATGTGTTACCGATTTTGTTTACCCACGCAAGCTCACCTCCGCTCTCACCGATTATGGTCCTTAATTAAATTGAAACAATTCTGACCACCATTCTCTTCAGTTTTCTCTCTCTCTTCCGTACGGTCCGGAATACCTCTCACTTGTGTCTGAAAACTCAACTCCAATCAACCAACACCATTTCTCCTAAACCGATCTCAGTCTATGTACAATTTCCAATGTAGTACTGCGATATTCGACGAAGTGAACTTCGCTAATCTCTCTCACGTACCGGTGTATGTGCAGTAACTTCGATTGTGTAGGATATACAGGGTTGTGTGCCTTCTTCGAGTGAAACAGAATATAATCATCTTTTGGCAACACAGGGGTTGCACAGTTTGAGAGGAAACAGCATCGAACGCCTCATTACCATCGATCTTCGTCGACATCATTGTCAATCATCATCATTTCGTGATTTGTGTGAATTTGCTTATCTATTCCACTTCCAGTGACTCTACCCGGTTGATACAATCGGTAAACGTGTTCCGCTCTTTCTCTTCCTGAGTAGGCGCAAAATAAAACCGTCCGTACTTTTGCTTATGTCCCCTGGTATCAGCCTACTGCCTTTCTACTTTTGTTTATCTCGTTACCAGAAAACTGTGAAACGCCAATCCTCTTTCTACATTCCCAACCATTTAAGATGTTTTCGAATTTCAAAACAACAACAATAATAATAATCAATTTTTTTACCAGAAAGTTTTGTAAGATAATCCGTTTGCTAGCATGTATTTATTGAGTTTAATAATCCGTTCTTCGGTCTTCTATTTGGTATCGACCAACATTTTCATTCACTCATTTTTTGTTTTTCAGTCCGATGAATTTGAGGATACAATGCCCAAAGTGGAAGATGAGGAGTTTGAAGGATTGCCGTCTAGTGCGAACGTGAGACAACCCGGTTCTGGTCCATCGGGAAAACCCAACCTCAAAATTGCCAAGGTGACTTTTTTTATCATCCCGCGGCACGTATAATTACCACTAGTCAACATTTTGCTGACCTCTCGATAAGTTGTGCACCAGTTAACGACACGGCTCTGATTTTCCAATTCTTACATGATGTCGCTTACCTCGTGACACTCGCCATTCATATATATGCTATTCTTCACTTCATTTACTGAGTATATATTTCGGCTTATCCTCTCCCAGAATCCAGTCACCTTAAAGAAGACGGAGTATATTTACTTGCTACCAACAGTCAGCACACCCAAGAGTGATGATCATTGAGTGTTACCCACTCTTGGATCATTAATGAGTTTTTCTTAATTATACTTTTAACCGTAAAGTCGACCGGAAGACAAATAAAGGAACTACGGATCGGTATATGCAAAATAGTTCTGTCAACGGAACGAAACGGACTAGTTGCGGCAAGCTCCCCGCCGCTAAAACTTGACCATATCACTCCGGGGACCTGTGTATCTTTGAAATCGGCATTTGGTGGATAAACTTCCTACTAACCTGCTCCGTTTTCGAGATAATCGTAAGGCATGCGTGCGATGATTGCCAGCGGTATGGACATTTTTGTCCGGTTGAGACTCGCAGTTAACATTGGTCATATTAGACGCATCGTTTTCTGGGAATGCGGCAGCATGAATCGTGTATAAAACGAAACCTTCCAGGAAGAGTTTAGGGTGTGTGGTGCGAAGTGGAATCTTCAGTCTGCCAATTGGTCTCGTTCGAGTTGACATCTCCAGCTTGTGCACAGATAAATGCGACAGAACTTCCTTGTGTCGGAGCCGTTGATTCAACGAGTGGTCTAGACGTACGATCGCAACGGTATTCTCTTGCTTCCTCCTTCACAGGAATGTGGAAAAGAGAACAAAACTAGGGAACTACACTCT